CCACCCACGCGCTCTTTTGTGCTAAAACAAACCAACCTTAAAAAAAATAGTAGTAAGAGCACAGCATAACATGAGAGTGGGAGGACATTACAGTTAAGCAGCCCCAGCCCCTCCACCAAGCCCACCCAAGTGATTCTATGAGTAAAACAATCCCTATATCTGAGGGCATCACTGTTTCTAAGAGAAATTAGCTGCTTCCTCAAAACTGAAACATCTATCCCTCTCAGCAAGGCAGACTGGGCATTTGGAATAGCCATTTCCATGCCTTAGAGCCATGGTTCTCAAACACTGGTGTCAAGGAGCATCACCTGATGCACTTGTTAAAATGAATATTCCTGTGTCCTTTCTTCATAGCGTCTGATTACGTGGGTTGAGGGTGGAGCCTCAGATCTTATAACCAGGCTCTCCCAGTATTCCCCATGCCAGGGGTGTGCAAACTTGACATTACACATGCTGTTTGCAACAGTTGTCACTGCCACCACGTACACCATGGCTTTGCTCCTATAGATGGATGGCTGGTCAAAGTGACATCAAGTAAATAATTTTGCCAACATTTCTCTCTTTGGAAAAGGTAAATGACTCTGTGAGGTATGGTTTAATTTCATAAATACTGTCACAATTTGATCAATGGCAATAACTTCTTCAGCTCTAGAGATCTTCCTAGGATCTTTGAAGATTTCATTTAGGCCATTCTTTAAAAGGAGAAGATATTATCATTAATCAAGTCTAATGAATAAGGGTGCCCACGTACCAACTCCTACAAAAAAAGAGAAACACTGAAATCATACATGTGAATTTAACATTTTGATGTGTTCTGTGTACCACCCAAACAATAAACGTAGGGATAGTCCTAGAGATATTCTAGTCTAAAGCCTTTGTTTTAGATGAAGAAACTAAAACCTAAAAAAAGTGAAGTGTCTTGCCCAAGAACACACAGAAGAACTAAAGCTGTCTCCTTAATGAAGCTCCATATCCCCTAGTCTGTCTTTATATTGTCAGGAATTCACAGGTGGCTGGGCAGGAGCAGACGAGATCCCAGTTAAAATCACCATCAGTGTCAGTTCCTGATTACAGACTGCCTGAGAGTTGAATACCTGGCCCCCCAAATATGCTAAGAGTCAAGAATAAATCATCTGGGATGAAACCCTTGCTCTAGATCATAAACCCTATGTGTGACCTGCAGGAATATAATAAGTATCCTTTTCACAGAAGAGACACTTAAGTCTGTATGTAGCTATAAAGTTTGAGAAATTCAAGTAAAAAATAATTTCTGGAGGAAAGGGGAGTGTACTGACCTCTTGTGCTCATTGACCAAATGATGTGGCCAAGGTTACACACAATAAACTCAAGATAGGTCTGCAGAGAACAGTGATGTCCTGACTCTGTGACATATGGTTTAGCTCCAGCCACACTGTCTCCCGGCCGAATCTTCCCTGTTACTGATTTATGGTCATAGGTACCGGGAGGCAGAACCAAAAGTCTAAGACTATATGGCTAATTCAAAATTTATTAGAATTCAAGGTGAGAGTTAAAAGCAAAAATTCCTACTAGAAATCTGATCTAAGGTGTATATGTAGGAAGATAGATATATATATATATATATATATATATATATATATATATATAATTATCAACATGTCTTAGCTTGTGCCAATCACATGGGAAATCTGATTTGTACAGGTTTATTTAATGGGCCAAGTTCTGCATATGATTACAACCCCTCTGAGAACACAGTGGTAGTTACTGCTTGGATTTTACTTTGGGGAATGGTATATAAATGGCTTTTGCCTTGTTCAACCATAAGCAGGTTATGGGCTTAGTGTTCAGGGTAAGGCTTGGCAGTGCCTGACATATGGTGCGTGATGTGTTGCTCTTTGCACGAAGCAGCAAAGCAGTGATAGAAGGTAATTTGGGGAGAGTCCATCATACTTTATTTGAAAAACAGAGTTGTCTCTGATGGAGCCAAGGTTAATGGTTTGGATTTGCATATGTCTCTATAATTTTTGCACAGCTTGTGAATTAAAACAGACAAAAGGCTGATGTAGAACCCAGGTAAATAAAACCTACCAGACTCCAGAAGGCCCCAAATAGGTTTCATTTATGTGACAAGCTAGTTACTTTGGCCACTAATTTTGTAGGGAAGCCAGAGAAAGGCATTTGGAAAACAGGAGCCTGTTATGACAAGAATTCCTTCAATATTCACAACAGGCTATGGGGAAAATGAGGGAGGGAGATATCCCTGCAGACCCAGGTGTGCCCTGTGTTTCAGGCAAAAGGACTGGTGTGGGTATTCAGGGTCCCTGAGCCCAGGAATTTTTGATGTTATGCCTCGTTCCCTTCTGGCACAGTGGCAGAAACCTCCAGAAAGTCTAGGGGTTGAGCGGAGACTGGGCACCCAGGAAGTCCAGGGTGCCCTGTAGCACCTGCCAGGGGAGGTAAGCAGGTGTGGCCCAGCGCCAGGCTGCCTGCCCCCGCAGCATGGGCAGGGGACGTCCCCGTCCCGACGGCCCAGCCTAACACGGCCATCTGTTCGCCACCAGCAGGTGCCGGCTGCCATGTCAGCACAGAACAGCATCTCAGGTGTTCCTCAGCAGCAGCTGAGCTGTGGGCTGCCTTCTCCCGCCTTCCACTCTTCTTCTTTACTTTCCTTGCTCAGCTGCCTTGAAAAAGAAAAGCAGAACGACTTCATTTTTTTTTTTTTTTTTTTTGAGGCTGCTGCTGCAGCTCCTGATAACTCTTCATAACGAAGTGCAAGGGACCATTAAGATTTGTCTCGCTTGGGCTTTGACTCACCAGCCTCCAAAACAGTCCTCACTGGGCTGTAGAGTGTGATCTGAACACACAGAGCCGCGCACGTCCAGGCGGGTGGCTGAGCAGACTGCCGACTCCTTCTGCAGTCTTTGCTCCGAGACAGGAAAGAGCACCCTGCAAGAACCTGTGTTGGTGTTTCCGAGTGGAAGGAACAGGGCAATCTGAACCGAGGAAGGGAAAACTTTCATCTTCCTGGGAGCTGCAGTGTGGTGCGGACAGAGAATGGGCTCCAAAAGTGAATCAGTTTGGTTTAAAGTTATCCTTCTTCTACCGACCTGTCCCAGAGGTGCTCCCAAATCATAAAAGGGGAACAGCAGCCTCTTTAAAGCTGATAAGGGGGTTGAATGGGAACACACGTGTAATATGTGTAGGATAGTGCCTGGTACAGAGGAAGCAGTGTTTGCCTTAGTTTAATTATAGAACAGTAAGTAAAACCTGCTTTTCCATTGCAAAGGTCAGGTTTAATGAGATGGGGCCCTCCATGTTGACTGACTTCCTTTCAAAAAGAAGGGGGGGGCGGATACCGCTTCTGCAGTAACCTCTGAGCAGCCTAAATAACCTACTTACCAGAGTAAAGCACAAAAATCTACAGGCTGATATAAGCTCACATGCCTTATGTATCATCCCCATTGGGGATTTACCGAAGGTCAGTGGTGGCGACAGAATAGCAACAGAGGGGAGAAAAGTAGTCCCGATAGCCCACAAGCCCGTGCGCGCGCAGAGCATCCCGAGAACGTCCAGAGGACCAGAGCAGATGACACGACGATACCTTGCTCTAATATCATCCCTGCCATTGCTGGCTCTGCAAATGTGAGTTCAATCTGACAGTTACTCACATCTTCTATAAACCTTCTGTGCAAGGTATTCTGCCAAGGTAACTGAGAGGACTCTGACATTATTAACGAGACAATTATATAGAAAAGAAACGGAATATCTTGCAAGTTCTATCTACGTGCTTAATAAAGGGAGCCATATCAGATCCTGCCTCAACTTTTAGTAAACTGATCTAGCCTGCTTTACATTGTCTTCGCAAAGCAACGGAAAAGAGCTACTCTTACTTTGTACCAAGAAAGATAAACAGTTCACATATAGTATTTCAGGTTAACAGCACCCTGAAGTGGGTGTCACTATCCCCATTTCACAGATTAAAAAACTGGAGGCTCAGAGAAATTGAGTAATCTGCCTGGGGTCGCACATTCCATTGTGAAGGCAGGATTTGAAACCTTCTGGCTCAAACATGCTCGAAATCCCTATGCGCTCCTCATCAAGAAACTTCTTGTCCTACTCCTTGCACGGGCCATGATTTTCCTCCCTTCAGAAAAAGATGCACTCGGGATTATTGGTGAACAAAGCTTTGCAGATGGCCATTGGTATGCATGGCATAGTGAAAGGTGAGATGGCACAGTGATAAAGCATTTGTAGTGAAGGCAGGAGACCCACGTGCCAGCCCTAAAATGCCTTCTTCCTTGTTGTGTGATGTTGCACCCATTACTTATTGTCCCAAGGCCAATGTCCTCACCTACAAAGTGCCCTCGCCTTACAGAATTGTCACAGTCCATGCAATAATATAGGTGAGTCAGCTTTCCTATCCATAAGGCTCTAGGCAAATGCCAGCTATTACTATGGTTCAGTTAGCTTCAGTTCCACTGCTGATTTGCTCTTGAATCTTTGGAAGGATCTCCTGATGCCTCACTTTTCTCATCTGTGAACTAGAGCTAATGATACAGAACCTTTTAGTAATACCCTCCAGCAGCCATTCACAAACTTTAGCGACCTACCATCTTTTGGGAGGTTGTTAAAACGGATTCCTGGGCCCTGATGATCCTGCTCCATCCCAGCTGGATTGTGCTGTTCACTCTTATGATTCTGATGTCAATGGGCCATGATCACTCTGAAAAATACTGCCCTGCAAGATCAATATGACAAAGAACTGTGGTACTTGCAGGTAAAGAACTTGACCAAGATCATCTGGTCAGTAACACAGCCAACACCAAACCTTTGATTTCTGAGGTCTCGATCCTGTCGTCCTGACCACAGGACCGGGACTCCAGAGAACAGCAAAACCCTCTCCTGGCCACTGGGTTTCCACTGGGGGATTGGATCCTAGAGGACACGGCTGAACCTTCCAGCGCACCACAGGCCTCTTTAAAATACCGAGTGTCACTGCCTTTTTTCTTTTTCCTCCACAGACACATTTGCAAGCAAAGTGGCAGCCACCCAGGACCAGTATGCAGATGCATCCATAGGTAACGTCACCGGCAGCAACGCGGTGAACGTCTTCCTGGGGATCGGCGTGGCCTGGTCCATCGCTGCCATCTACCATGCAGCCAATGGGGAACAGTTCAAAGTGTCCCCTGGCACGCTAGCTTTCTCTGTCACTCTCTTCACCATTTTTGCTTTCATCAATGTGGGGGTGCTGCTGTATCGGCGGAGGCCGGAAATTGGAGGTGAGCTGGGTGGGCCCCGGACTGCCAAGCTCCTCACATCCTGCCTCTTCGTGCTCCTATGGCTCTTGTACATTTTCTTCTCCTCCCTGGAGGCCTACTGCCACATAAAAGGCTTCTAAAGGAACAATCAGATATAGTAAATTTATATATATATATACGTATATATATACATAAAAAATTATGTATAATGAACAGAGGAAACTGACATTTGTCATGTTCACTTACCTGCTGATGGAATCCAGCTTCAAGAGCATACTCTGTGCTAGGGCCGAAGTGAGAAACCATCACCTCCCATTCCCAGGGGCATCGTCACATTGAACAAAGGCGTGGAGGCAGGGGCATCTGTGCAGCTCAGCCTAGAAGGACTGTGTTCTCTCCAGGTTCATAAATCGTTAAGTCTTTGATTTTGTTTTCTGTTTCTGCTTGGTTTTGGTGGGGGCTGGGAGGTGGCTGATGTTTGACTTTTGTGTTCTGTCGTTTTGTTGGGAAGGTCAAAGTTTTTGTTTCTCTTGTGGGAGGTGATGACCAATCTAAATGCAAATGGGTTTTTGGTGAAAATTTAAATCATTACAATTACTCTCTCCAAACACTTTGAAAAATTATTTTGGATTAAGAAAGGATATGGGCATGGAAAAGCAGCATGTCTTCACTAGGTCACTAAATTTCATGCTTATCTCTGGAACATGAGCAGAGGTAAAGCTGCCTCTGAGAAGAAGCATGGGAGCTCGAATGCAGCCAGGAAGAGTGATGGTTCTAGATACAGTCGGATATTTAAAGATAGGATGCCTGGCACTCTTGTTCAACAGGTACAGGAATAATGTGCCTCGATTCCCAAGAACATGCAAAATCATTTATTTCTTATCTCTTTAGCTCTGGACTGTGATTAGCAAGGCCCTCATTCTGGTTTTCCAGCCTGGCTAGCCACCCCCTGCCCAGGCCCCCATCCCAAACCTCCTCCTCCTGCCCACCACCTCTCATGCAAATAGGAATAACCCCACTCAAAAAGCATATCATCCTTTTCCATTTGCATCACTGTGTCCCAGTCCCGTGTTTGCTGTTGCCTGGGATCGTTCGTCGGTTTTATTTTCAAAAGCATCCATGGCTTGCACAGTCCTGTTCCAGTCATGACTGAACATTGGCTCCTTCTTCATGTGCCTGTTTGGGAATGTTGTTGTGATACCTGTTACACAGTGCATGGATGAAAAACAAAATAAGTGTATTTGTATATAGTAGAGTGTAGCGTGTACTGTTCTCCCATCCAGCAATGTTGACTGGACATTGAAGACATAAGTGAGTTTCCTTTTCACCTGAGTTGTAACTTTCGTGTTGTTATTGAGTTTGATGTTACTAAGGACAAAAGGAGAAAATGGCTTATTGTTCATGGACCTGCACATTCATTTCTAAGAAGCAATAACAGTTCACTGGGAAGTTAAAGCTATTGAGAGGACAGCAGGCAAACTACCAAGTATCTTCATGGAAAATTAGCCATGTGGAATACACCAGAGGCCTCTAAACAGTCACCTGTTGATGATTCTGGAAGGCCAAGGAGAGAGGTATAGAGCAGTGGCTGGATTCGAAGTGCCCGGGCTTTGAGAGCCTCCGTTTCCATGACACCCCTGCCCCCAAAGTATTTATTTCACTTCTGCTCTGTCTGGCACAGATGGTAGATAGTGGTTTGTTCATTTTATTTTTTTATGTAAAAGGCTATTTTGAGCCCTGTTTCTTTCATCGCCCAGACTCCTCTGATTGTATCTGCAGTTCCTGAGTAGGAAAGGAGCCAGGGAGACCAATGGGTCTTTACAAGCGCATCTTCTGTACTTATGACTAAGGAGTAAGCAATTAAATGAGATTAGTGCCTCCCAGGAGGATTGCGCTGGGAGGTTTTTCACCTTGAAAAAGGAATGGCTCTTTCTATTTCAAAATACCAAAGAGCAAGGATAAACCCAACATTCCAAAGTAGTGGATCCAGTAATGAGGAAAAATGGAATGACGTTGGTCCCGTCTCAGAGACTTCTCTATCTATAAAGAATCCCAGGCCAGAGACACCACTGGCCCTTTGTATTGATTCAAAGATACTTAAGAGATAAAAGCTGTTCAGAGTTATTTCCTCTTTTTCTACTCAGTAATCATGATCATTCATCATTTAATAAATATTTGGTGACTGAATGAATAATTAAATGCTGGTTACTACTCAATATGCCAGGTACTGTGCTACTCTTGGGGCCTAAACCATGAACAAGATAGCCCAGATCCCTGCCCTCAGGGGGCTCACAGCTAATGTGATTGCGATTTCCATGGGTAAAAGTTAGCACAGCCATATGGAAACAGTTTTATCTTGCAAGGAAAAACACAATTACAAAACTCTTAACATAAACATGTTGAAATTGTACCAGTACAGTTGTCCAAATATCTAAGATTTTAACCAAGAGATAAAGCACCTGTTAGGGGAAGAAGCATCCTATGTATCTTTGGCTGATCTTGCAGATATATACACCTCCCCATCGTAAGCCAAGAAAGGCAATCATGTTGGTGATCCAGATGACTGAAAAGGTCCAGTTAACCCCAGTTTTTATCTTTGTTGGTCAACAGTACTTTTCTACGCCCCACACCTCTACAGTTCCTCGTATCTCCAGGAGACTCACCCCAGCAGGCCATGGCCCAACACTGTGGGTCTAAGTCTTTTGGGGGCACATTTTAACCCATTTTTTTTTTTAAAGATGTACTAAATGGAAAGCTAGCCTAGAAAACACCAAGTAAATATAGTCCAAGGATGTGGGTTGTTTAAACATTAGATTTTGCACTCAATTTTAGCCATATCTGGAACGTCGATAATCCCATAGCAAATTTTCACAGAGGACTTTCAGAAATTCTTGCCATTGAATTTTAATTTCAAAGCTTTTTGGTTTGTTTGCTTTTTCAAGTTTCATGTTATAGAGAAAATATGATTCTGATTGTTCAGAGTTGTTAATAATTGTAGTTGTGTAAAATTATTTCATTTTATTTTGTGTGTATTGTGCACAGCTTTAGGGGGGAAGTGCACGAATTGTGCCGTTCCTTATAAATGGTACACATTATTGACACAGACAAATAAAGTTTCTAATTGTTTCTGATTTAATCACTAGTGATACAGCATAATCTGTATGGAATGTTTCCTCTCATTGTCATTGACTTCATTTTTGTTTTCATGTTTTGAAGAAATAAAGACCAAAAAGGTATTATTGTGCAGTTGGTATCCTCATCCAAAAGAAAACAGATACCCAGTATTCAGACTCTTGCAAATGTCACCCCGTTGGTCATACAAGTTTTCCTTTTTAATGTCCCAAGAGAGCAGAGTGTGAGAATATGTGTCTATCTGATGGTACGGAGATAAACGTTGGATGTTTCTCCATTTCACTAATTGTTTTTTTTTTTTACATCTTTTAGCACCACTTTATCCTTTCTGCATCCAAGAACATGAACCTATAAACAGTTACACATCAGACCACTTTTTAGCAGATTACAGCAAATAAATCAATCCCAATGAAACCGATCAGAAGTAACTAGTTGTTTCCTAAGGGACACTTAGTATCATATACTGTATTCCTCTTGATTCCCCAAAAAACTTCCTGTAATAATTTCTGATTAATTACCTGTTATTGACTTTATGTATCATATAGTCAATAGTATAGGAAGAGGTGACACCAGAAGTCAGCATTTGTGAAAAAAAAAAGTGACCTCTCATTTGTGTACTTATTTGCAAGCCTACATTAATAACAGTGGATTCAGTTCTAATAGAATCTGTCCACTGTGTACATGTAAATAATTTATTCATCTGATCATCTTTTTAAAATTTGCTTTGAATTCATTATGTCTATATATGATTATGTGTGGCACACTTTCACATATGAAGGAAATAAGGTATAATTTAAATATTTTCTTGGATCAATAATTAATGTCTCCTAGTTACCAATCTTTGGTTTAACACAAAATGAGCAGCCAACATTTATTTCTTTAAATACCAAAGACAGTAATTCAATGACCACAGTAGTCTTCACTGTTTAACTACCCTTCAACAAAATGTCATGGCTCAATGATTCGCAACCTCTTATAAGCTAATTTTAGTTCAAAGATAATGAATGATTCAAGCCCACCACCAGTGAAGATTTCAGAGAGCTTTGCTTTCTATACAGAATAAAAGCAACAAGTAAAACTGTTTTTCAAAGAAAAAAAAATATGCTCTTTTAAACCACCCTGCAGGTATTCTGATAGGTGGATCCCACTCACAATGAGAATCCCTAACACAGCATCTTTCCCCCAGTGGTCTCACAGGTAACAGAAGCACTTTGCCTTTTCCACACAGGGCTAGATTCCTTGTTGATTCCCCAGCCCAGGATCCCTGATCCTAATCTGTCAAAACAGAGATTGACTGGTTTGTTCTACACATATCTGGAATTAGAAAAACAATAAATTTCCTCAGGTAGATGATGAAGCCTTCCATTCTCTAACAGTGACAAAACGTCACCTTCTCAAGAATGTAAATCAGCCCCTTTAAGACTTCTTTTAAAAAGTGTTTCCTGGTTCAAGATGTAGTGTCTCTTTTGATTCTGGTTTTCTGTCTCTGATCTTGGGCAGTTGCATTCAGAGCAAGTAGAGTATAGTTTCGTAACTTCAAGAATATTTGGCCGTGTCATGATTGACAATGCACAACCTTAAATCTCTCCCAAACTTACAAGTGGCACTCACAGCTTTTGTTATAGTTATCTCTTCCCTTGGCGAAAGCATTGTAGCTATTGGTAAAATGTAGCATTTTAACTGATAAGTGAGTGAATTATGTAGAAGAGCTTCACACAATCATATTTTTCTTACAGAGAAAGAAAGATGCTGTTATGAGTGCATTTATTAGCTTTCATTCAGATCTACCTACAGATTTTTGTTAATGGACTGCATTTCTGCTCTTCAGTATTACATTTCAGTCACTTCTAGCTATGTTGTCTTCCACCCAACACATTGTAAGTGTTCGGTGGTCCAGATGGTATTCCACCTACAAGGACATAGGGAGGGGAAACAATTGCACTAGTTAGATATTTCATTGTTGGAGCTTAATCAGGCCATGGTTAATCACCTCCCAAGGCAGAGAATGTCCCATAGAAAGAACAACCACGAGAGCTAGGTCTCCCAAGGGAGAGCACACTTCAGCTTTCCAGCCCACAAGAACTAGTGAGTAGCTTCCTATGACTTTTCCCCCTGCCTGCCAAGATGTCCAAAAAGATGTCCTCAGAGGCTCTACCAATTTTCACTTTTGTTAAAGTTCCTCTGATTTAATCTGAGGGACCTTTAAATAAAGTCATTCTAATACTATTTTGATGTATTTGTAGGAAAACATTACTTCGTGACTTCAAAAGGCAACAGGACTTTGTAGTTCAAACCACAACTCATATCTTTACAAGGAAGACTTGCTTGCCCAGAATCACCCTATCTGTAATCAATGAAGTACTTGACCTACTCACATTCTTTAGAATCATGCTGTCATAACTTTATCAAAGATCTGGAGAGGGATTCACTTTGTAATATGCAATCTTAGTCTTTCTTTTCCCTAATTCCAAACATTGTATTTGTTCCATGCTTATTCCCATCATATTCATCACCCTTAGTAATGCTATTACCTCTCAGCAATGGAGAGAGGCTTATGATAAAGTGCTCTGGGCATGTTCTTCTGAAAGTGAACGTATCATAGGAAGAAACAAATATAATGACATTCTACTTGGAAAACAATCATTTGGTATGTATCTCTATAAATGTTTAGGAGAGATTATACCCTACACCTACCCACTACAGCAGTATTGATTTTCCTCTCTGGATCACATTTTTCATGCTTCAGTGCCATCTACCTAGCCTTTTATCCTATTGATAGATGTAGGTATGGATCAGGATTAAGGAGCCCACCCTAACACACACACAGACACACACTCACACTCAACTCCTACGAAAGTTTCTACAAAGAAGTATGTAAACATAGAAAAACATAATGTATTGCTTCCATGCCTCCAAAAAATGAGTGGGTCAAATGTTTATCTGTGGGTATTATATTCCTGATATGCAAATGATAGCAAAATTTCACATTAATAAGCAAACACACCAAAAGAGAAATTAGCTAACTTCAATTTACTGACTCGATTTTGACAGTTAATGAACAGCCCAGCCCTCCTAATTTGTTGACTGCAAAGACAGATCTACCTAGCCAAATCCAAGAGTGTACTGGGGGTGACAGGGGACTTAATATACTAGCAGCCCTCTATATTGGAAATTGTTTATTCACCAAGGAGGATCTGGCCCAGAGATTTCCAAAGACCTCTCTCTACATTCCCAAGTTGAAATAACTTTTAATTCACAGAACTTTTTATTAGACCCCTTGAACCCACGTGGTAGGACAAGAGATAAATTCTCTAGGGAGAGCTTTCTTAAAAATGTGATTCTGTTTGTTATGGCCCTATTTTCTCACGTGAAGATCCTATTCTTTCTAATTGGAAGGAACAATTCTAATAACCAAATATATAACCACTTTTCAAAATGTTTCACTTAAAAAATTAACTTTTAAGTATTTATAAAGTTATATGACCTAGCCAGTTCAGAGAAAAATAATTTTCTCTATATGTACATTTCTCTACCCTCTTATACTTAACATTAAACTTTGAAAAATGCTCCAAAGAATAAATCTTGAAAGATTTTACATTCTAATAATGTTCATGTAAGTGAATAATATGGCTAAAATAATGTTTTAGGTGACAATTATCTATGTTTTGACAGAACACACTTAAAAATGAGAGAATTTAGCACAAATGTGTGAGGTAATATTTCATCACAAATTACTCTTCTCTAAAATATTTGAAAGTCATTAACCCTAAGGAAGATAAATTTCCAGTTTCTAAAAACAATAGTACAATTTCAGCTTGTGATCTGTTTTTATATGAAAATCAAAGCTGGGCATACATAACTTTTGACTTTGGCAACCCCTCCCCCAAAAGTCTGCTTTTGGCCCTTTTCCATATTACTGAGTTATTTTGTGGAATACACTGGATCTATACAGGTGTCTCATAAAAATGCCTTCAATAATTTCCTTTTTTTTTA